TTAGGGCTGGGAGTATAGTCCAGTGATAGAGAACCTGTCTAGTATGTACAAGACCCTGGGTTCAAACCCCAGAACTTTAAAAAAGAAAAAAAAAAATCACTAGTTTTTCTGACTACTAAATCTTATTCTATTCAGTTCTAAACGCTGCAAAAAAAAAAAAATCACTATTTTTTGCTAAGTCTTATTCTGTAGGATATAGTTTGTTTTCTTTTAATTAAACAAAAAACCTGATCATAATGGAACCAGAGAGCTGGGGTTATTTTCCAGAATGGAAACTGGCTTACAAATAGAAAAGGGTAGAGACATGACTTTTTTTATTTATTTATTTTTTTTTCTGGTGAGGTGTTTTTGTTGTTGTTGTTGTTGTTGTTGCACTGGGAATTGAACCCAGGAACACTAAACCATTGAACTACATTCCCAGCCCTTTTTTTATGTTTCATTTAGAGACAGGGTGTTGCTGAGTTGCTTAGTGCCTCATGAAGTTGTGAGGCTGCTTTGAACTCACAATCCTCCTGCCTCAGTTTCTTAACCCCCCGGGATTATAGGCATTCTCCACTGTGTCCAGCAAGACATGAGTATTTTTAGAGATGAAAATATAAACAATACCATTTTAAATAAATATTTTATAGGGTTATAGTAAAAAAATCAAGAAAACTGTTAATACTACATGATTTTCCAGAAGTAAAAGACAAAGCTGATTTGAATAAAGTAAAAAAATGAACTGAGGATGTGGTTTAATAGTAGAGAGCAGGCAAGTACAAGGCCTTAGGCTTAATCCCCACGCAGCACCACCAAAAAATGTGTATTGTGAATAAAATAAGTTTTTTCAATTGGACTACTCTTCAAGGACAAGGACTATACCAGAGCATCTTGTATTATGCCTGGCACACAGAAGGTGCTTCATAAATGTTTGATGAATAAAGGAATTAATAAAACAAATCTAGAATTATATTTTGTTTTAGAGATCAGGAAACTGAACCCCAAACCAGAATAGTGGCTTGCCCAATGATGTATTTATTTCATGCAGAAGAGCAAAGACCAGAAGTCAGACTATCATTCCCCACAGTTTTGCTATAAAAAGGAGATGTTGGGCTCAAGAATTTCTTTCTTTTTAAAAAAAAAAAAATCTTTATTTTGTTTGTTTTTATGTGGTGCTGAGGACTGAACTCAGTGCCTCACATGCGCAAGGCGAGTGCTCTGCCACTGAGCCACAACCCCAGCCTCAAGGAATCAAGAATTTCAAAGTGAATAAAATGAAAAATAATACATTAGTGAGATACAATCAGGCTATAATTAAGGATGTCAGACTCAATGACAGATAAACTGAAATAATTCAAGAAAGACATAGGTGAGGCACTATGTAGAATCAAGGAACCAACCAAATTTTCTGCATTACCAGAAAAGATACTAGAAACCAAAAAATACATGCAACATTAATACCCCCAACCTAGCTTTCCAGTTTTATCTAATGTGACCAAATTAAGTTATCTGTTCATATTAAGCCACCCAATTCCACTGCTCAGTCTACATCCATGACAAAATTAATTAAAGTGGGGCTGGGATTGTGGCTCAGAAGTAGAGTACTTGTCTAGCATGCATGAAGCACTGGGTTCGATACTCAGCACCACGTAAAAATAAAGATATTGTGTCCACCTACAACCAAAAGTTAAATGTTTAAAAAAATTAAAGTGGCTATACAAACTGGATTCCTTCTTAAGAATACAGAGTTACAAAGATAAATTTGCAAATCTATTTGTTCTTGGCTCCTACAACCTTTTCTCCTTCTCAACTCAACCAAACCTTTACTAATTAAAACGGCACAGAAAAATTAATTTGACTCTGATGTTCAATATGTGAAAGGTTTCTTTACTTCCTGAAAATTCTTTGCTTCAAAGCAGATTCTTTATGTCAGCCTAGTCAAATTATTATCAAATATTTAGAGTATTTTGAGATATGACTATGTATCAATTAAATTTTGGAAAAGTATGTTTTCTCCACCTATGCTAGTAGAAGAGTCACAAGTAGATTTTTAATTTCAAATCTAACAACTGATCTTAACATTAATAAATGGGTTTCTACTGCTTGAGCCCTAAACTCGATTAATCATAAAAAATATTCATTGAATGTAGTCTGAATGTCCAGTTCCATACTTATTTATTTATTTTTATGTGGTGCTAGGATCAAACCCAGAGCCTCGCACTTGCTAGGCGAGTGCTCTACCACTGAGCCACAACCCCAGCCCAAAACATGAGGTTTACTTTTTTTTTTTTTTTTAAATGGTGCTGGGGATTGAACCCAGGACCTTGTGCATGCTAGGTCCTGAGCTATATCCCCAATAGTTCCATACTTAACTGTCAATCTTACCATAACCAATGTATTTATTTATCTTTGGGGGTACCAGGGATTGAACTCAGGGGCACTCACCCACTGAGCCACATCCACAGCCAGTTTTTGTATTTTCTTTAGGGACAGGGTCTCACTGAGTTGCTTAGCAACTTGGTTTTGCTAAGGCTGGCTTTGAACTTTGGGATCCTTCTGTCTTAGCCTCCCAAGCCTGGCCCCATGACCAACTTCTTTGGATGGTTTGAATGCAAAAATGTTTCTAGTCTTGAAGAGTTAAAAGAACTTTTATATGTTCAAGAACTGAGAGCTTCTCCTCAATACATAAAATTTCCTTCTTCAAGCAATTTCCCACCATCTCTTTTATTTTTTTATTTTTTAGTTATAGTTGGACATAATACCTTTATTTTATTTATTTTTGTGTTGTGCTAAGGATTGAATCCAGTGCCTCACATGTGCTAGGCAAGTGCTCTACCACTGAGCCACAACTCCAGCCCCTTTCCACCATCTCTTACAGATAATTTTGCCTTTAAATAGCAAGCCATTTAGATACCACAAGACTTTCTTAGTCTCACCCCTAGATACTGATGGAAAAAAAAACACAATAAAAATCAATTTTAAAAATACAGAATAGTCAGCTAGATATTTAAATCAAACAAGGAATCTCCAGACTCTAGATACAAATTCATTCAAATAAATACTTTAAAGTTTTATACATAAATTCATTTTTAAGGTATTGAGTACTTCAATGTTCTAAAAATGTGGGAAGAGTTAACATTTTATCATTACTGCCAGAGGTTGTTACTCTAAGAATTGTCTTACAAAGGTCAACTTTTTATTGGTCTTCCAAAATCAATTCTTCACCATGAGAAATGGACATCAGTTAAATAAACTTAGAATAAGAACAAAACAAGTCAATACATACATAAGCTACTGCTATCCTTGGGACCTGAATTCTAGTGCAATCTTCGAAGATACTTAGCTAAATCTAATCTAATCTAATCTATCTATCTATCTTTCTCTCTCTCTCTCTTTCTTTCTTTTTTGAAAGTATTTTTCCCTTAGTTGTTGATAGATCTTTATTTATTTACAGTGGTGCTGAGAATACAACCCAGGGCCTCACCCATGCAAGGCAAGTATTCTACTGCTGAGCCACAGTCCCATCCCTAAATCTAAATTTTCTCATCTGTAAATTAAAGGTACAACTGTATAAGAATGTCTAAAGTCATAACCAGTGCTAAAGTTCTAATGCTTTGGAAAGACTGTTAAAATTTTATCTCTCTTCGTATGTTCTTTTAAAAAACTAAAACCAGCACACATACAACATAATTCAAAAATTACAGGAAGCTTTAATTGAAAAATAAGTTTCCTCCTAGACTCCTGAGTCCCTCCAAAGCCTAAAACAACCACTGTTTGTTTTGTATCCTCAAAAAAATAAAAATTAAAAAAATAAAAATAAAATAAAAATAAAATAAACAAAAAAGGCATGTACCAGCAAATTCCCTGTAGGCCATACATATACTTATTCTTTCTAAAGGTTGTAAAGAATTCTACTGCACCATGCTGTGTGGTTTCCAGATTGTTTTTTTTTGGGGGGGGCTGGGGGGAGTGTTAGGGTGGAGGGGTAGTTATTGGGGATTGAACTCTGGGGCACTCAACCACTGGGCCATATCCCTAGCTATATTTTGTATTTTATTTAGAGACAGGGTCTCACTGAGTTACTTAGCTCCTGGCTTTTTTGCTGAGACTGGCTTCCTGATCCTCCTGCCTCAGTCTCCACAGCTGCCGGGATTTCAGGCCTGCACCACCACACCTGGTGGTTTCAGATTTTTCTCACAAACTATGTGGCAAACAAGTGTACCTGTGCATGAAATACAAGTGGTTGTTGAAGCACTAGACAGGAAAGCCTGGTATCAGGAACTCCCAGCAGTAACCCTGCTGGTTTGAGAAGACCTGTTTCACATGGCTTCCTGCCTAGTTTTATCTTAAGCTCTAGCACAGCACTTGAGATGGGCATGACCTACTAAGAGCCAAACAGCCTGTTTACCCCCCCCACCTATATCCTATTTTCTGTGAAAAAGCAAGCACCTAGAGAAGACTCCTCCCACACTGAAACTTTATATCTACCCTTGATATATACCGCTATAAATAAGGCAAGTGCACCAAAACCCATATCCCCCTCTGATTGGCTTAACCTAGCACTGCCCCTGTTCTGTAAAACATATTTCTGGTCTTTTGTGGCTGTATCTTGGTTCTACTTTCATAGCTTTTATTTCATAGTCAGCCCAGTCCTCCAATGGGAACCTGTTCCCTCACCCATGCAAGACATGAGTGAGATACCTGAACAAAAAAAGTACAAGGAGGCCCAAGAGCCTTGCACACTTTATTTTGATAGATACTTCTAATTGCCCTCCAAAGTTATCAATATATGCTTCTAATGTGATTCCCCACTGAGCATCTACCTCTTAGAGCTTCACTATCCATTCAGGATAGACAGAGAGAATTAAAAAAAAAAAAAAAAAAGAATGGGTACAAACATGCAAAAAAAAGAATGGGTACAAACAAGAAATAGCGAGATTTAGACTTAAACAAAAAACAGCTACATCTTTTATTGACAAACTCCAACCAAAAATATAGCAAACATAATATATGGTACTTGCCTGCTGGTTGCTTACAAGATTTAAGTGTTGATATTTCCTTGTGGTGCTTGTAAAAAAAGATATTGACAGAAAATAAATTTCTATTCACAGAATAGGCAAACAATTTATATTGTAAATTCTATGAAACTCCACAAAAAGTCCAGTTCTGTCTTAGATCAGAATGTGGATTTAATAAGGTGTATTGCAGGCTGGGGTTGTAGCTCAGCCAGTGGTAGAAGGCATGCACAGCAGGCTTGAGACCCTGGGTTTAATCCACAACATTGCAAACAAGCAGTGGCTAAATTCCTCCACATATAATCTGTCCGCTTTCAGAGAATGTTATCAGCATACATAAAAGTAAACTTAGTTCCTTGTCTTTGTCATTGACAAGATTCCCATTAAGTCAACTGTTTATCCCCAAATTAAAAAGGATAGTGCATGATATCAGACCTGATAAATGTGTTAATGAAACACACAGGAAGCAGCTCTTAGAATGATTTTACATTTTTAAATTAAACAAGTGGTACAACATCTATAATGTAGTAGATACCCAGTAAACGACTTTTAAATTAATTCATAGTATCCACTTTGGAAATTATCATCTTAATTTTACAGAAAGTATTTGCAAAGGACCATGTAAACAACAGGCAACTCTAAGAGTGTGGGTGTGGGTGGGTTCCCATGATCTCCTAAAATCAAAATAAATATACACACAGTTCCCATTTTACTTTCCTGTAACTATTACATTTATTACAACTTCAACTGTATCATGCAAAATTTAAAAATATTTTGTCCTTATATTGAAATGTGAAAAAATGCATATTACAGAATCAGAGCCAGGAAGTGGTACAAGCTGGAATCCCAGCAGCTCGAGAAGCTAAAGCAGGAGGATCACAGGTTCAAAGCCAGCCTCCGCAACTTATTGAGGCGCTACACATCTCAGCGATATCCTGTCTCTAAATAAAAATATAAAAAAGGACTGGGAATGTGACTTAGTAGTTACGCTCCCACTGGTTCAATCCCAGTACCTGCTTCCCCACTCCAAAAATAAACAAACAACAACAACAACAACAAAAAAACAGAGCTGTGTGCAATGGTGCACGCCTATAATTCCGCGGGCTCAGGAGGTTGAGGCAGGAGGATGGTGAGTTCAGCAATGGTGAGGCACTAAGTAACTCAGTGAGACCCTGTCTCTAAATAAATACAAAACAGGGCTGGGATGTGGCTCAGTGGTTGATTGCCCTGAGTTCAAGCTTCAGTTACTCGCACCTCAAAAAAAACAAAACAAAACAAAACAAAACAAAAACAGAATCAGGGAAACATGTAATACATCCAATTTGTATGTTTTCAGCAGACATTCCTTTAAATTTATAAGTGAAAAAATAAAATTTATGAACTCATAAGACTTCCCACCATATTCTTTCCTAACTCACATAAACCAGATGCATCCAATATTAAATCTCTTGAGAAAACTAAGCTCCCAGTGATCACTAAAGCACAAGCCCTATGATTTTAGGCATTAACAGGAAGCACTCAGAATCAAGGCCAACCTTAAAAACCTACATATAAAACTAGCCAATCAGGATCGTAGGCCAGAAATATCTTTCAAAAAGAAGGTTTGTCTTCTAGCTCTTATTATAACTATGCCACAAATTATTGTCGGGGCTCAGCTGAAGATATTGGGCTCACAGCTAATAGTTCTAGGCATCCAATAGGATATCAATAGAAAAGGAGAGGAAGTGACATTAATAGGATGAAAAGTCAAATAAGGGTTATTTGGTAAGGGTCCTACCCATGATATAAATAAGTCCTTACCTGCAGGTATATGGGTAGGCCCTTTAAGACTGATTGTATCTGAAAAATTATGAAAGTCTTCTAGATGCTAACAAATTCTACTTACCAGAGTTCAATGTCCAGTTTATCAGACTGAACTACACAGGTAAGTGGATAACATTTTTAAGAATTTTCAAGTGAAAATTTTACACCAAAGAAAAAAATCTCAATCATACAAAAAAGAGGTAAGCCTCAAACAACACTATCCACTCTTTCCAAGATACATAAGAATGTGTTTCTTGGATTAGAGATTAGTATAACGTGGCAATGGACCAATGACTACTTGAAACTAGTCCAAAAGTCAAATCCAAAGACACTCAATTTAACACACAGCTTGCCAATTACACTGTCAAGAACAAACTGAAGCAATGTTTGGTTGGGTTGCTATGTTAAATGCAAACTATTATGACATAAAAGAGAACCATTAATAGGTCATTATTGGTTGCAGACATGTAACCAAAGTGCACACTTATTGGTTATAGACATTGCAACCAGAATATTTTATCCAATCAGATCATGTGATGCAAATAACTTTCAAATTCAGCTTCAAAATTGATGTCCAACATTCTTGAGACTTTCATATTACTTGTAATTAACCCAATCACTTCTATAGATAATTTACGTCTATAAACTTTGACTTTTAAAATTGATGTTCATTTAGCTAATTCACAATGTCTTTATATTGTAGTTGGCAAAAGATGATACTTTTATTCTTTACTCTGGAATGAAACTATGATCTTTATTTCAGTTCCTGCCATAGCTAATGTTAAAAATCTTATTCAAGAAGAAATTTCCAAAAAAAAAAAATTAAAACTCAGATTTGTATGGTGAAGTCATTCACAATTTGTTTGGAAAAAGAGTAGAATTAGTACTGTGCCTTTCAGTCTGAGGACTCTTCAGGTCCTTTCTTGCTTAAGTACTGATGACCAAGTAAAAGAAAAACTGACAAAATAAAACTCAACACTTACTTATTTGCAAACATGGTCACAGTACTGTTGGAAAAGCCTAGATAATTTTGTTAAAATGAGGTTTTTGCCAGGCATTGTGATGTGCACTTATAATCCAAGAGACTGGGGAGGCTGAAGCAGGAGGATCACAAGTTGGGAGGCAAGCCTCAGGAAATTAGTAAGGTCCTAATAAGCAACTTAGTGACATTCTGTCTCAAAATAAAAAATGAAAAGAACTGGGAATGTGGTTCAGTGGCTAAGCAACCCTGGATTCAATGCCCAGTACCAAAAAAAAAAAATTAAATAAATAAAATAAAATGAGGTTTTTGCATTACAAAAAGACCTACCCATATATTGTTAAGAGTGCAAAGAGTAGATCATCCACAGAATTCTGGGATAAAAACTCTAGATGCATTTTTTACTTATTTTGGGGGGGGGGGCGGTGCTGGGAATTGAACCTAGGGCCTTGTGCATGGGAGGCAAGCACTCTACCAACTGAGCTATATCCTTGTTTATTTAAAATTTTACCTACAGTAAAATTATACTTTCTGGTGTACAGTTCTGTGAATTAAAAAGAAAAGATTTCTACCAAGTCAAAAGCAGGCAAAACAAAATCTAAAAGGTTAAGCAAGGATTTACTGAAAAGAAATAATGATCCTTTTCTTTTGATCCTGTCTTCTAGCCACTCTTCAATTATCATTTCATTGATTTCTATGCCTGCTTATCTCTTCTGTACCTCTTCTGTACCATAAACCAACTTTCTACTACTAAACATCTCAACATGGTTATCCCATAAACATATGAAACTCAACAAGTCCAAAATGATAGCCCTACTTCTTCCCACAACCTGATTATTTTTCCAATGATTCTATCATTCATTCAAGTGTTCAAACTAGAAACCTAGGAGTCAGCCTCAATTCCCCACCCCCTCCCTATACACTCTTCTACTTCCCATCCCACACTGCAGTCATCACATCTTACCAATTTTACCTCAGAAATACATCCCAAACCCATATTTCTCTTCATCCCACAACCACAAGCAGTCAAGTCCCTGACATTAGCACACTGCAGTATTACTTTAATTGCTATATTTTATTTTTCTATTCCTACAAACAGAATGAACTATTTTTTGCTGACATGTTTTGAGTATGTTTTTTCTCCCCAGAATGCCTCTCCCTCATCTTTGTAAACTCTGATCTCTCCAAATAGAATTAAATACTTCCTTCTCAATCTCCGTGTGTAGATTTCTTGCTGTTGTAATTATTTTTCTTTCCCACTAGACTGAGAGTCCCTGGAGTGCACTTGCTATGTTATATTAACCAAGGTAAGCCAGGTGTCTAGGAAGTGTCTTGCAAATAATAAATGCTTGAAAAAAGAATGAGTGATTTTATTTCTCTTAGATAAGATTCCATGCTTACCAATAAACTTTCCCCCACCCCCGCCCCACTCTGCCTCACCATGCTGGGGACTAAACCCAGGATCTCTGTGCATGGCAGGCACGCACTCAACCACTGAACTATATCCCCAGCCCCACCAAGTGATCTGTTCATTTGTATGGTACAGTATGTTTCCTAGCTGTAAAATCTCAGGAACATTACTTAAGAACCTTTCTATGCCACAGACTCCTTATCTATAAAATACAGATGAGATTATCTTCCTCTTCCTCTTTAAGGTTATTCTAAAGATTAAATGAGTTCAACACAGGTAAATGCCTGACACATGGTAACTTGCTCAGTAAATATTAGATATTCTTCCTTTTAAAGTAGTATCTTGACTCTAGAAAGGGAATGGACAGTAATGACATATTTTCTAGGCCATGGAAAAGACTACCTCTCAAAACATATTAATAAGGGCTGGGGTTGTGGCTCAGCAGTAGAGCGCTCGCCTAGCACGTGCGAGGCACTGGGTTCAATCCTCAGCACCACATAAAAATAAATAAATAAAATAAAGGTATTGTGTCAACTACAACTAAAAAAAATTTTTTAAATACATTAAAAAAATGACATTCTGTCAGCTCCTGTGAATAAGCTATTTTACCTGACACCAATCAATTCTAGTGACACTGAAGCAACTGAAGTTACCAACAAAATTGAAGAATGAAGCCTGAATCTTAAAGATCTCACCAAGTTAATGGCATCCTGAGACAGCCTGTCAGAAGAGCTAGTTGGTTACCTTGTGACACCTTACCTCAGTTCTCTTTAAAATGTACTATTTTGGTCAAAAGTAGTAAAATTTATTGAATGGAATGTTACATTAGGAGAGAAATACACAAAGCATGCCATTAACTAGCTTTGATTATGTACTTTACAGAGCAAGTCCTTGAATTTAAGAAAGTACTAGTCAGTTCTCAATTATTCGTATTAAGGGAGGTAAAAAGTGATATGAATAATTCAAAACATATAGTAAAAAGAAATCCTTAACACATTTTACTTTTGAATACACTGTCATTTCTTCTAAAGATTTACATCCAAATTATCTTTTGTCTGAACTTATAATAATTATTTACATAGTCTGGACATACATTAAAGATATCATGAGACTGAATTGAACATAAAATAGGAAGCCAACCTGAGAAAATTTTGAGGGATAATTTACATGAGGATAATGTTAAAACTGACTATTATGTAATAATCCCTCTTGACCTCACAGCATGCTCTTGTGGCTCTTAGCCATAACATTCTTTCAACTGAATAACTGTCATTCAGAAATAAAAGATGAGAACTGAATTTCCAAAGGTGAATCAATCTAAATCTGCAAGGCCATTACAGAATCATTCAGTTGAGGATTTTGCTTCCACAGATATGGGGTTATATTTTACCTACAGAGCTACAAGTGGGTACCAACCTGATCACAGGCCAACTTAATTCATAAAATCAAGATATTATTCTTCAACAGTTATGTAATAATCTCAGTGTCAGAAAAGGACTTCAGAGACTACCTTGCTTAAACTCTTTGATTTTATAGAAGACACTAAGATCCACAAAGTTGCAACATGTCTACTGAATTACATGGTAAAATAAATACATATTATTGGAAAGTTTGTTATTTGAATAATTTACACATAAATAAATGACCCTTCAGGGGCTGGGGTTGTGGCTTAGCAGTAGAGCACTGCCCTAGCATGTGTGAGGCACTGGGTTTGATCCTCAGCACCACGTAAAAATAAATAAATAAATAAATAAGTGTATGAAAATAAATAAATACATAAATAAGTGACCCTTCTCCTACATTTCTTGTAAAAAGTTACTTTAATATATGTAGTTTGCTTAAAATGAGGCCATATCTACACATCTGCTTTATCTTATAGTTCCATACTGCACAACTTAAGATGTTGTAAAAATAAAAGCAGTCAGGCACACCTGTAATCACAGAAGCTCAGGAGGCTGAAGCAGGACAATCAAAAGATTGAGGCCAGCCTCAGCAACTTAACGAGGCCCTAAGCAACTTAGTGAGACACTGTCTCAAAGTTAAAAAAAAAAAAAAAAAAAAGAAAAGAAAAATCAAAAGGGCTGGGGATGTGACTCAGCGGTAAAGCCCCTCCTGGGTTCAATCCCCAGTACAAAAAAATAGATAAATAAAATATTAAAAAAATAAAATAAAAATAAAAAGCAATCATCTGGGATCTAACTTCACTCCCATACATGCTTTTCCACTACATCATAACATAAACTCTCCTCTCCACAATTAGCTAACTCTAACTTGTTGGTCAGCTCATTCCTATTACTATATCCCTTTCTCATTTATTCATACCCTCTGAAAGCCAAGAAGATCCTCCTATCTCTTATCTGAATACTATATTTCCAGATTCAGATCAAGCTCTACCCTGCCACCCCAGTACACTCTGAATTCCAATCATACTTACTGTCACCTTCTTAGCAATTAATATTATTACTTAGAACCCATGAGCTGACAATGAACATAGGATGCTCAGACTTATAATCCTTCGGTATATGTCTTTCTTTTTTTTTTTTTTTTTTGCAGAGGGGAAAGGATGCAGGGGAGTACTGGGATTTAACCCAGGGGCACTCTACCACTTACCCATATCCCCAACCCTTTTTATTTTCTATTTTGAGACAGGGTCTCACTAAATTGTGGAGTCACTAAATTGGCTTGAGTCATTGAGATTACAGGCATATGCCATAGCAGCTGGCCTTAAATTCTCTTGATGGATCTAATGAGACATAGGAATAAGTACTTTGAAAAAACACAATTTGTCAGATGGTAAGAACAGTTACTATAAGAATGTAACTTTTCCTTTATTAAAAAGTTCTTTCTTGGGGCTGGGGATGTGGCTCAAGCGGTAGCGCGCTCACCTGGCATGCGTGCGGCCCGGGTTCGATCCTCAGCACCACATACCAACAAAGATGTTGTGTCCACCAAGAACTAAAAAAAAAAAAAAAAAAGTTCTTTCTGGGGCTTCTATAGCTAGTTGATAGAGTGCTTGTCCTGCATGCACAAGCCCTGGGTTCAATTCCTAGCACCACACACACACACAAAAAGTCCTTTACTTTAAAAAAAAAAAAAAAATTTAAAAAGTCCTTTACTGATGATAAATCTTTTCAACTATAAAAATATCTAAGGAGTGGGCTGGGATTGTGGCTCAGCAGTAGAGCGCTTGCCTCACACGTGTGAGACCCTGGGTTCAATCCTCAGCACCACATAAAAATAAACAAAATAAAGATACTGTGTCAATGTATAACTTAAAAATAAATAAATAAATAAATAAATAAATAAATAATATCTAAGGAGTGAAGGCCTTAGGTGGACTGGAGTGACTTGTACTTCACAGTTGCTGGGGCTACTGGGCTGGCCTACCTCTTCACTGTTTGAACAGAAGCAGATGAGGCACTAAAGCTACTTGAAGAACCTAACCCAAACTTCAATATTAAGCCAAATCATAAATTTATATCAACAATATGAATGACAAAATTAAGAAGAACTGAAGAGATCTCTATATGAGAGGGCAGGGCTCTATTTAAGGAACTGAGCTCATTTACAAATGCTTTGAGACAGTTACAAGGATTTCTATTTTATGGTAAACCAATGTGAATCCAGTATGCAAAAACAGATTCTGATACGATATTTAAAATATGAGGCACTTTTTGCTGACAAAGAAAAGAAAAAAGCCAAAACTGGAACAGACTGCAACAACTGCAAACAAAAAGCCTGATTGGGAAATTCCAAATTCAGCTAACACCCAAGGAAATTCAACACCAAATCCTCAGATTCCTGATTACCCTCAAAACTATATTTATTCCTTAATAATTTACCAGAAGAGAAGATGATGATGTTATCCATGCTGTTTAATCTGTTCCCTGGTTTTAAGGAAATACAGTCTGATACTTGGAAGGTATGACACTGCTTTTGTCAATTTTGAAAATGACAAGCAGGCTGGAGATGCCAGGGGTAGTTTAAGATCACCCTATCCCATGCTATGATCAACTATGCCAAGAAATAACACTTGGGATAGTCATTTTTAATGGACTTGATGGTATCCACAGTGTTTGCTTTGATAACATTTAGTCAAGTCGTTTTAATGGTTCAAGGTGGAGGATAAGTGAAAGTGAAATTTTTGCGAAGGACTTAAAAAAATTCATCCACTCTTTCTTTAACCTTAGTGAACAATGAAATACAAAGGCCTTAATTTTGTACAATAAACTTTTTTTATACAAAAAAAAAAAATCTAAGGAATGATTGAGAAAAAAATGTAACGTTGCACACTCTTTAACACAGTAGTGCCACTTCAGCAGTTAAGTCTAAGGAATCAATTTGACCAGCGTATATAGATTTATGTACAAGCCTATTCGTGACAGCATAATTTATCTAAACAAAAACTACAGAAGTTCCACATATGCACTTGGACAAATAAAATATGATGTCTCCATACAACAGATTCTATGTAGTCACTTTAAGAAATTTTTCTTTTTTTACTGGCATGAAAAAATACACTGATAAACAACACATGCAAATATACATTTAGAGAAATACCCAATAATATTCAGAAAAATGTTAACTATAATAAATTGTCTGGGATTGGGGTTGTAGCTCAGTGGTAGAGTACTTGCCTATGTGAGGCACTGGGTTTGATCCTCAGCACTACGTAAAAATAAAGATATTGTGTCCATCTATAACTAAAAAAATATTTTAAAAAAGAAACTGCCTGGTTGTATTTGGGGCAATTTTTTTTTAAACTTTTTTTCATTATATGTTTCTATTTTTTCCATGAATTATTTTATAATCAGAAAATGAAAACTTTTATTATGAAAAAATACAGTGTAAGTTTTTAAATTACATGCAGTTCTTTTTAAAGATCTGTATACAGTGTATTACTCCCATTTACTACAATCATCACCACTCAGAGTGCAAAATTCGCTTATTAAGAGTTATAACCCCACTGGGCATGGTGGCACAGGCCTGTAATTCCAGTCGTTTAGGAGCCTGAGGCAGGAGGATCATGAGTTCAAAGTCAGCCTCAGCAAAAGCGAAGTGCTAAGCAATTCGGTAAGACCCTGTCTCCAATACAAAATAGGGCTGGGGATGTGGCTCAGTGATTTGAGTGCCTGAGTTTAATCCCCAGTACCAAAATAAAAAAAAGTTATAACTACTAAAAAATATGTCAAAACTGATATGTAACTAAATTCCCCGTTGTCATTATATTGTTTCTTCAAGCCAGAAATTTCTGAAATAATTTATGATAACTTTCCCTGAAGGAAGTTTCTACTTTATGGAGAAGATATTTCCCTAAGTGGTAAACATGATAGATGGCAATGAGTCAAGTCATCACCAAGTCAAATTATATTCCAAATGTCAACCATCACCACCACCACATCATCACAGATGACCAAGGTTCAGGGAACCACCACTGCTTTGGTACCTCTAGTGAACAGTATTGGGGTGCCCAATACTTGGTGTCTTTGGGTTTGGATTTCAATTTAATAAGTTTCCAGAGCCATTCCATTTCGGATGCTCATCCATACTCCAATTCCTCAGCAAGGATCTCTTGGACTTCCTCCACTTCCCAGATACTAATTTCTGGATTATGTCTGCATTTCTATCCCCCTACCAAGAGGAAGGGAAGAGTCAATATGAGAAAACAAAAAGTGTAAAAGGCCCAAGAGAAGACTTGAATGGATATACTAGAATAAAAAGGCAGTTAGCTTATACATGGCAACCAAAGGGAAACACTATTATGCAAGAAAAGGGCAAGGACCATACAATAGAAGGCCTAAGAAGTCATAATGAAGAGTGGATGTTGTCATTTTCATAAATCTTGCTGTTCCCATGGTGCATCAATTGTACATAAAAGTTTCATTTTCAGCGTATGAAAATGAATTTCTAGAGCTGTTTCAAACCTCACCTCCTTTTCCCAAAATTCAGTATGAAAGATCCAACTGCTTGCCTGCTGGAGGGGATCTCTGTCCTAAAGGGCAACACATCCAAAACCAAGTGCACTTTTTTCTCCACAGCAGCTCATTCTGACTGGTTTATATCTTTTAACAGACCCATCAATTCATCCAAGCTTGACATCTTGATGTTATCTTTATTTCCTTGCCTACTGCCCACCCCCACTGAATACAGGTTCCACAGGTCCTTAAAATCCCCAACCTACTCCTTCATTTCCAGTTCCACTGACATTATCCTAGTTTATGCTAGCACCAATTCTTCTTCTGATTACTGGAATAGGCTAGCTAGTTTCCACACCTCCACTTCTTTCTCCATCAAATTTAGCCCATATGATGTCATTAAGACAATTTAAAGACCATCAATAAGCATATGATATACAATTTATTACCTCAAGCTCTGCTTTCACTTGAAGCTCCACTCATAGATCTGCCTACTCAACATATTTATACTTAGCTTTATTCGTATCTAAAATTGAACTCCTGATTTCTGATCTTCCCTCCAAATCCCACACCTACTTTTCCCATTCCTCTTTATCTCCCACCCCCATCTCAGTAAGTGACACCTCTACCCATCCAGTTGTTTGAGCCAGAAACCTGGGAGTCATTCTTGACACTTTTCTTTTCCTCAATCCCCACATTCAATCTATAATTAATTCTTTAACATACTTCTCAAATATATCTACTTCTCTCCATCTCTTACCTCCTGAGTCCCACCAGCAGTTTCTAGTTTAAGTGGTATGAGTGCAGCCCAGGTATGAGTTTTTAAGCTCCACAGGTGATTCTAACACTACAGGATTTGGACTTCACTGTTATATAGGAGTCAACTTCTTTGACTTAATATCTACTACTTTCCCCTTGTTCACTTAACTCTAGCTATACTGGACTTGCTGGTTCCTTGAACAGGCCAGGCTTATACATGCCTCATGGCTTTTGCCCTCACTGAGGCCTCTACCTAGAGTGCTAGTTCACTCCTCCTCTTTCTACAGACCTTTACTCAAACATTACCTTTGTAGTTATTTTGAAAGGCCTTCCTTCACTATTCTACCTAACAATGCAACTCCTACTCCCACCTAATATTTCCTATCAATTTCTCTTCTTGGGACTTGTGATCACATTTTAACATACCACATACTTTATTGAATCCTATTTGCTGCCTGAATATGAGCTCCATGAGAGAGGGATTTTGTCTGCTTTGTTTTTTAACTATATTCCCAGGACCCAGAACAGCATCTGGTACCTAGTAGGAACTCAATATTTAATTTCTCACCAAGCTTTCTCTGGCTCCTCAAATTAAATTTAATCTCCCCCCATTATCCTATTAGTAATTTATCCCATTCCTTCATACCATTTATAATTTATAGTTGTGTTTATTTGCTGAAACTCCTCTCCTAAATTGCAAATTCTGAGTAGAAATTTTCTGTTTAGGTGGCCATTATATATACCTTGGCTCAAGCTTACATGGTACAGAATAACTATTCAAAAACTAGTCAATAATTAATAAATAAATGAAGTAAAAAAATTTTCTGAAAGTACACTGCTATCATGAACCCAGGGGAGCTTTACCACTAAGCTATACCTCCAGACCTTTTAATTTTGAGACAGGGTCTTGCTAAATTTCTAGGCTGGCCTCCAACTTGAGATCCTCCTGCTTCAGCCTCCCAAGTCCCTGGGATTACACGCATATACCATCATGCCCGACTCAAAAATTTCCAATGTCCCCCATGGTTTACCACATTAAACCCAAGTGCCTGGCAATAGTAGAAAACCTTCCATGTTCTCAGACAATTTACTTTTCAGTCTTATCTCTCATAATCCCATATATCTTTTGCCTCAGCTACATTACACTCATGATTTCCAGTACAAACCCTCTACTAACAAACACAGAAATTCCCTACCTCCACATTTTTGCGTATGACATACCTTCTTCCTGAATTCCCTTCTCCATCTCTGCCAATCAAAATTCCAATCTTCAAAATACCT